GGAGAGTAAAATGTGAAGTTCTCAGTCTGACCATTCTACTGCTATAGACACAGATCTCCCTAAGCACATCCATCTCCCCATTTCCAGCTAAACCAAGACTCAAATCATGGTCATGTCAAGCTCTCTTCTAAATGTTGTTAAAGAAAAAAGAAATTAATGATACTTATTGAAGCACAAAAAGAAAGACTTTATTCAAGCCTATTACAATAGGTATAGAAATCACTGCAATGAGATTTTACAGTTCGGGAAGAGAGACTACCTGGACTCTGAAAATGGTATGGGCAAGAGGTAGAAGGAAGGGAAGGGAAAGCAAGAATCAGGAACTTCCTACTTTTCCCTAAACAACTGGGTAAATGGTGGTATGGAATATTGGGATTAGGAAGACTTGGTCGTATGGGAAGTGGAGGCAGAAGGAAGGTTAAGAGGGCAAGGAATCAAGAGTTTTGTTTGGACATGTAAAGTTTCAGAAAACTCTTAGTTCTTCTAACCCTCTTTATTCCTGTGCACTTTGTTTATACTGTAATTTCAGAATTTATGACACTTTGTGTTTTGTTGCATACTCATTTGTCACCCCAACCAGACTGTAAGCTCCTTGAATGGAGAGACTGTAATGTTTGCTCCATGTCCTAAGGAGACAGTCTTAAACAAAGTAGCCAGTTGATAATTTTGTAGAATGAATTAAGGTAGTGTTCTAGAAACTCTGAGGAATGTCAACCAAAGAAAACAGAATTCTTTCTAGCAGTCTCCATTCCCTAGAACATACCCTGAATAAGGTCATAAACCCACTTCAGAGTCTAGCCTTCTACTTGTAAACCCACTTATATATAATGGATAGCAAATCAACCCTTGCTCTTAAGTCTCCTCACATGAGTGCTAATGGACATCATGATACTTACCAGCTCTGTGTAAAAAGCTTTTCCCTATACTATACAAAGGCCAAACAGATGTGGACTTGTGTATTTCAGATAGGTTTTTATTTTTAAACACTTTACCTATATTATTTGTTTTTATAGTTATATAGTTCAGATTCTAATAGATTATTAGTACCTTCAACAACACTTAATTATTTTTCACCTTTAAAAACTAATTTGAATATTGAATAGAATCACAGAATTTTTAAGACAGAAACTCACCAAATCCAAAGCTCTCATTTACTTGTAGGGAAGAGAAAACTGATTTGATTAAACTATTCAAGATTCTACATTTAGAAGTGGAGTTGGGTCTAGAAACTTGTTCACCTGCTTCTTAGTATAGGATTTTTCTACAAAGACTGGCTTAGTAAAGGAAAAAAAAGATTAATTTGGCCATTTTGCAATGGACTGTGTATTTTTTTTTTTATAATTTTTCTATTCAGTGGCATCCTAATATTGTTTTTTAAGGAAGGATTGTAGTAGCCGTATAGCCTATGGCTAGGAGGAGTGAGAGTTATAGGAAATACCTGTAATGGAACACCTTGGTGAAAAGGGCATGGAGAGAGATTTGGTTCTACCATGACAGAGCTTGCGAGATGATAGCATTGGTGAATTGGTAGTCTCTACACCTGTGGTGTTGAGAGGCACGAGATCAGCCTTATATTAGGCTGGAGGAGTAGGCAGTCAAAAAACATGAGCATTCTATCACTGACACGCTTACTCTGACTCTGTCTCCTCTCCTGCCTGCAGAACGCCAGCACAGCGTCTCTCTGCTGAAGATTACCAAGCTCTGCTAAAGACTAAGATCTATCTGTTCTAAGAAGACTGCTTTCCTCTTTCTAAGACACACACTCTCTCTCCAGCTAAAGTAGATAGCCCTCAAGCACCTAAGAGAAACTGTTCCTGATCAAGGTAACTTAGTGGTCCGCGTCCAGAACCTACCTAAGCTGGGCCCAAGACCTGGCTAGGCCCAAGACCTGGCCAGTCCCAGGCCCTGACAAATGGTGTCAGAAGCAGATCCTGACAAAGGATATACCTTAAAATGAAGTCAGACATATTAGTAACCAAAACAAATCAAGTGGAACAGTGTTAGCCTGTATCACAGGGCTTACTGGTAATGCTCTGAGATAGTATATACATGGATTGATCGACATGATATAAGTATCCTAGTGTCGCCTATGTGGTCATGGGAAGGTAAAGGAAATGGAGCCAGTCCTATGTATAATTGTGAAGTTTGCGAGACTTGCCTCTATCATATCCAGATTTCTCTTTATTCTTATCTGTTTCAAAGGCCTTCCTATCTACCCTGTTCCTTCTCTTTACAAGAAATGAAAGAATTTTACATCTATTATCTACCCTTTGTTAGTGGACAGATATAAGACACCAATTAAGTGAATTTTAAGAACTATATTAACTCAACCATACATTTACCTTTTAAGCCTTTAATCCTGAAATGTAGAATAAAAGTTTCATTCCCAGAAGAATTTTAGACCTCCAGAAATGGAATAGTAGAGAGAGAGAAGTTCTCTCCTTCCTACCCACTAAAATGACAAGATCTGAAGACAAACCAAATATCCATTTAGGGTGTGCAAAGAATAAGTCTACAGGGGCAGCATAATGTATACCCTTCATAGGAATAATGCTATTGCAATACCATTGTTCCAACTTCTGGTAGGTATCTGGAAAACTAAAAATTAAAAATTTCTAAGGGCTGAGGTAATTGTTAATTATTATAGTGATTTGAAATTAGAATTCAAAAATTTTTTAAAGCTAGTTTAAACATAGTCATCACGTTTACAATATAAATCTGTTAATATTTAAATGTGTTAAATAGTACCTTATGCCTATGAGGTGTTTTCACATATGCTATGTCATTTGAACTTAACAACATACAATGTAAACATCATTTCCAGTTTTCAAATGAAGAATCTAAGGTATGCAGATAATGTAGACAATAAAAGGCAGGCAGAACTGAACATAGAGTTGTGGGTTTCAATCGTAAAGGTATGGAGACAACCCAAGTGCCAATCAATGCATGAACGGGTTAATAAAGTGTGGTATATGTACAATATAGAATACTATTCAGCCATAAAAAGATGAAGACTTTGTATCTTTTGTATTTACTTATTAGAAGGATTTGGAGAACATTCTCTTAACTAAAAGTATCATCACAATGGAAAAACAAACATCCCATGTACTCTATACTAAATTGAAACTAGTAAATTAGTAACTACAGACTCATGAGAAAAAAACTCAGTTAAATTCAGGAAGACGGATGGTGAGAGGGGGCTTGGTCAGTTCCACCTAATGCATACAATGTATGGGTATATGGCACACTTCTTGGGTGAAGGACACAACCACATCCCGGACTTTACCTTTCAAACACAAGCAATGTAGCCTAATTATATATACCCTGATAACAATCTGAAATTTAAAAAAAAAAAGTTTTCAATCCAACTATTTTCCCACTATAATATGTAACCTATGTAGCAATAGTAAAGCAACTTGTCTATGCAAATTCTAAATAATACTTTCAGGTAAAAAAGTAATATTGTCTCCAAATTTCTTTCTTTCTTTTTTCTTTTCTTTCTTTTTTTTTTTTTCTTTAAATTTTGAGATAGTCTCTAACTCTGTTGTCCCAAGGAGAGTACAGTAGTACCTTTATAGCTCATCGCAACCTCGAACTCCTGTGCTCAAGTGATCTTCCTGCCTCAGCCTCCCAGGTGGCACTACAGGCATGGGCCACCACGTCTGGCTAATTTTTCTTTCCTTTTTAATTTTTTTCCCACTTTTAGTAGAAATGGGGTCTCACTCTTGTACAGTCTTGTCTTGAACTCCTAAACTCAAACGATCCTCCCACCTCAGCCATGAGCCATTGCACCCCATCCCTCATCCCCAAATTTCTTTTATCTTTTTTCTTTTCTTTTTTTTTTAGTTTTTGGCTGGGGCTGGGTTTGAACCCACCACCTCTAGCATATGAGGCTGGCGCCCTATTCCCTTGAGCCACAGGCACCACCCTCATCCCCAAATTTCTTTCTTTTTTTTTTTTTTTTTTTGAGACAGAGCCTCAAGCTGTCCTCCTGGGCAGAATGCCATGGCATCACGCTCACAGCAACCTCCAACTCCTGGGCTCAAGCGAGTCTCCTGCCTCCGCCTCCCAAGTAGCTGGGACCACAGGCTCCCGCCACAACGCCTGTCTATTTTTTGGTTGCAGCCGTCATTGTTGTTTGGCGTGTCTGGGCTGGGGATTCGAACCCGCCACCTTAGGTGTACGTGGCTGGCGCCTTAGCCGGTTGAGCTATAGGCACCGAGCCATCCCCAAATTTCCAAGTAAACTATTTGGGGCTCAAATTATTTCTTATTATAATCTTTGTTACTGCTTTGTAATTTTCACCTTTCTAAAAGAATTCAAGTAGAAAAAATACTGTCCAAAGACACAACTAATGAAAAGAAAAAGTCATCTTTCAATACCAAAAATAAACATTTCTCACTTGGATGTTTTTTCTTTGATATCCTTTGAAAACCTATTCAGATTCATTTAAAGTACTAGCCTAAAAATTAGCAATTGTATGGTTCATTTCAACTCAGTGATTCATGACTCATGTCGACTTTTTTCACTAGCTTTGCATATTTTATTAATTTGCCAACTTTAAAGCGATGTGATATGATTGCAGGTGGTATCCTGTTTCTGCCAAAATGTCTTTTATCTTGGTTTCTTGGTTTTCCTTGAAATGAATTATAAAATGGGATTATCCAGACAATGGGTCCTTTATCCAGCACAGAAATGGAATCACATTTAATGTCATACAGGATAAGACTCACATGTTTTGCTACTTTTAGATTATTATTTGCTTAACAAAACATAAAGTCAGGGTATCTATTGTTAAAGTTACTAAATCCAAAATTATTTTTGAAATAACTTTGGTGATTTTAAGGAAAAAAGACATGTGAGGATAGAATTTATCAAGTGTGAAAACTGACCATTACAATGCTATGAGCTTTATTTCTCAAGAAAAATAAGTGGTAATTATTAAAGAAAAATAGCATCTGAACATTTAAAAGAATAATCAAAGTAAGAAAGGGGCTCACCTGTTTCAGTGAAGTCACGCTGACGTAAAATTCCTTGAGTGGTCAGCATGGTTGACTGTTTCAACTTAGCCTGTTGTGAGGAGGCTGGTGATGGTGAAGTAAACGAGAGATTTTTGTTGACCTGTAATAGGAAAAGCAAATCAGAAACTACAGTGTAATTTCCTGGGTTACTGATGCAAAAACTGGATGAGTAGTGTCTGTTTACTATATAAACAGAGATATTTGGTAGGTAAAAAAAACTGTAATGATTTATGGGTTTAGTTTGTCAAGTTTACAAAAGAGAATAGTTTTCATCAAGGAAGGAGCACAATGGTAGTGAAAACATAAGTATATGAAAATAAATCAGCCTTACTAAAAGTTCATCATTGCATTAACGTAATAACTTAAAACAAAGCAGTCTTAAGTTACATAAAGAAATTTAAAAAATAAAAATGACTGTTTTCAAATAAGAAAGGCTGAAGGTGTTTCACATTCACATTTCTCTAACATTTTAGTAAAATAGCAAGTACTTCCTTTCTTCCTTTTCAGAAACTACAGAGAAAACACCTGTACTACTCATGTTTATGAGATAACACAGCTGTAACCTAACTTGCCATGTGAAATAGTTTCCATTGCACCAAATACCTTATTCTTAAGACACTGTTTAAAAACAGCATTAAAATAATAATCAAACAAAATTTCTGTAAATAAATATGATGTTCTAAAACACACAAAGCCTATTATGATGTCTGAGGACAATGGTCTCATTGAAATAAAATGCATAATAAATGCAACATTTGGGGGGGCAGTGCCTGTGGCTCAAAGGAGTAGGGTGCCAGCTCCATATGCCGGAGGTGGTGGGTTCAAACCCAGCCCCGGCCAAAAACTGCAAAAAATAAATAAATAAATAAATAATAATAATAATAATTGCAACATTTTAACTACAGTTTTTGTAGAAGAATAAAGAAGAGTTTACTAAAAATATTTGAAATATTTTTTAGTGAACTCATGTTGTAAATTAGAGTTAATTTTGGGCAAATATAGTCTTTTGTTCATTATTAATAATCATATCTTTTTAAAAATCACTTTTAAGTACAAGAAAATGTACTTAATTTTTAGTTTAATTTTAAGTACATTTTTTAAAGAATTAAAACAGTCTGATTTTCTAATTTGCTACAAAAATATAATTTGTGAATTAACAAAATGATAAATGATACTTTATGGCATATAAATATTAGTATATGAAAAATATTCCTTTCCTGCTTTTTGGTTTACATAATCAAGATCACACAGAGGACTTCTATTGTTACTAGTATTTTAAAATTCCTTTTTGATATTCTGTATCTTGTATAAGATAATATTGAGCTCTGATTACAAGTCCTCTATCTGACTCATTATTTACATGTTTACAAATGCTTCTTTTTCTTTCAAACAGAATAAATTGTAAGTCTTACTTTAGGTTTGTCTCTTAGAGCAAAAAGCTTTAGCAGATTTGGTAAAAAAACAAAACAAAACTCAATTGAGATCATATATTAATACAGTTCTAAAATACTAGACATGATGACATCTAATAAAAAATAATAATGTTTTTCAAAGTAATTAGAAAGAATCAAATATACATCAGTCCTAAAATATTATCCAGCTTTAAAAATCCTATCAGGATCCATTAAATACTGACTAGAATTAATGTTGATTATTTATAGTAATACAGTACCTAACAGAACAAATTGACTTAATATATTTGAGCTTCATTTTCTTTCTTTAAATGGAGATAATAAAAATAATATCTATGCTTTAATGAGAATGTTTCAGGAAAGCCCAATAAGTTGCTTTATGAAGCTGATAACCATGAAGCACCAAATAGCATATTTAAAAAAATAGATTATTTAGAATATATTAGCAAGGACAAACCATAAAGTACTATACAAATAAAGTGTCATATAAGTATGAGTTATTATTAACATCATAAGAAGTAAGGGTAACATAGGTATATTTAGTGTAGCATGATGATGTGATCAATTTTTAGAGTTCTATACATTTAAATGAATTACTACATACAAAAAGACATTGATTACTTAATTATTTAATTTACTTTTCAGAATTATTTCTTAGTTCTACTGCTGAGTTCTTAAAAATTTTTACCCTACATGTTAAATAATGCATTTTAAAATCTGGTGGAAACAAGTATATGCTGAGAATGTGAGATACACACACACCCCTACAGACGATATGTCTTTTATCCTCTTCAGAAATTTGTGCTAAAAAAAAGAATACCAGGAAAACTAAGACAAGTAAATGCCTCTGCTTCAATAGAAAAATTGTTATTATTTTTCTAAAAATAAAATGTTACTTAAAAAACCTATAATCTACTATTGTACATTTTTTCTAAGCATTTTATATATACCGGGTTACCGTAAAGTTTGTGTGCAAGTTAAATACACAAACTTTATGGCCACTCTGTATTTCTACCCTTTCTTGACACATTTCTTTAGAGAGTATTCACATGTCCAGAAAGTGATGAGTAGCAACCTAATAATCCAGATAACTCAATTTCTAAGCTTGGGATAACCATTAATTATTAATAGTGATTTGTTCTGAAATTAGAACACAAAGAATTTTCAGAGTTAACTTATACATATTTACCATTTCACGTAGAGGAAGAAAAAATAATAATAACCATTAAATAGAGTGAAGCAATATCTATTTTTGAAATATATGCTGTGGAAAAGAATTGCTTAATAATTTTACAACAACAGAAAGGTTGGCTAAGATAGTCTACCCTATGTCAATCTACCCTCTTTTCACAACAGTTCTCTGCTTGCTTCATGCAAAAACCACAGTCTGCCAGAGTCAGTTTAATACCTCCATATTGGAAAAAACTAAAATTAGCATAAAAATTTAATTCATAATAAAGAGAAAAAGTCACTTAGAACTTCTGTCAAGTTCATCACAAAACTCTTAATATTTATTCTGTTAGGATATAAGCAGCTTTTATGCAAAATATGCAAATATGAATTGCCTATAGGGAGTGGGTTAAATTTTGTGTTCTAAAACTCCTATCTCAAACATAGAACTCAATGCACAAAACTAAACAAGCTTATGATTAATTTCTCTTTCAGTGATTAGTTAAAATTTAAAGCCTTTGGGTGAGCGATAACACTCATTTCCACATAAACTTATAAGCCTAATAATTTTAGCTGATTTCAAATTGTATGTTACATTCACCTAAAGTAGAATTGTTTATGAAGTCTCAAGCTGTGAAGACATTTCAATTGCTTTAAAAGAGTTAAAACCTGAAAAATTTGCCTCTCCCCCAAGACAACTGTCATTTTTCCCAGTAAATCTGAACAATAATACAGATAACATTTTAATTTGAAGACAGTTCTGGGGGCATTAAAAAAAAGAAACCAACAATACCCAGGAAAATGTTTTGTTGTGAATCATGTTTGTGTTGTAAAAATTAAAATCCCGGTGTTGAAGAACAAGTTAAACAGAAAACTTGAGCCAAAGTGAGATATATCAGATATATTTTACATTCTCATAATATACATTCTAGTAACAATAGCTTATGTTCCCATTATTTCTAGGTTAGTAACATTTAAGAAATGTGCAGCCTAAGGTATCCTAAACACCAGTTGAAATCTGACCTGTAGGTCCTTATGTTTTCTTTACAAGCTAGGGCAAAGAAGTGAAAGCTTTGGAAGAAATACTCTGTCAAAGCAAAATTTTTACAGTGGTAAAATGTTGGAGAATCTACCTCCAAACCAGTTCATTATTACATTAACTAAAACCAGAATTCAACTTTGAATCAATCACTATTAAGTTTTATTTTGTTATATTTAATCAAGATTTTTTTAGCTTCTGACAGGTATTAAAGACTGGTGGTTCAAAGGTTACTCAAAGATTCCTCCCTGTGAAGTTCAAAATTCAGATCCATTCCTGGCTAAAACCTATCATCCAGCAATATACATTAGGGTAAGGCAATTTATCTCAATGCATCTTCGTTCACTCCAAACCTTTACCTCTAACCTCTTAGTATACTATACAGACTTTCTTCACAGAGAAAATTTGATCTTGAACCTCTGCATTCATTTATCAAAGAATCTACTTCTTGCCTGTATCCTCATCTAATTTTTTCTAGTGTCAGAGGAAGAAGTACACCCTGTTACTGGCAATCAGAAAAACATATCCTGAAATGAAGGCCTCAGAAGTAGCCACAGAAGCCACGTTTTTCTCTGCCCTCGGGCTCTCCTCTTAGTTTCATTCTTCCCCAAAGCAAGCCACAGAAACTACACAGAATCCCTCTTCCCAGAGCCAGTTATAAAACCTAACGATGTTATTCCAACTCCCACCCTCCACTCCTCCAACCTCTACCTATCTGTGTAAAAACTGGCCATGAAGAAATCATCTGACTTACCTTGTTCAAATGTATTTTGTAAGACCCCTATTCCAGAGAAGGTCCTGTTCCATACTCAGAAGGAAGAAATACATGCTTAGAGAAGCCACAAAAACCCACACAACAACAGGCCCTGCTGGGTTTCTCCACTTAATTTGACACTATTAATAGAAGATACCCTTTCTGCCCAATCATATTTCTACATGGCTGTTGATGAACCTCAGCACAAAAGCAATTTCTCCTATATTGGGGGAATTTTCGTTCTTAAGACTCCTGTGTCATATAAAACTATATAAAATAAATTTGTATGCCTTTTTTCCTATTACTGTGCCCCTTGTCAGTGATTTTCAGAGGGCAAAAGGAAAGTTTTCCCTTGACCCAGACCTGGTTCAAGATTCATCCCTCTGTCAGTGCTTTTGGGGGTATACTTAAAGCTCTTCTTTTTTTTGAGACAGAGCCTCAAGCTGTCCCCCTGGGTAGAGTGCTGTGGCATCGCAGCTCACAGCAACCTCCAACTCCTGGGCTCAAGCGAGTCTCCTGCCTCCACCTCCCAAGTAGCTGGGACCACAGGCGCCCGCCACAACGCCTGGCTATTCTTTGGTTGCAGCCATCATTGTTGCTTGGCAGGCCCGGGCTGGATTCGAACCCGCCACCTTAGGTGTACACGGCTGGCGCCTTAGCCACTTGAGCCGCAGGCGCCAAGCCCTTAAAGCTCTTCTAAAGTCTACTTTAATATTTTCTATTAG